AGATAAATAGATAAATAGATAAATAGATAAATAGATAAACCGAAAGAAAAATACATATACACGATCATAGCATCTAAAGAAGAGAGATGATAGTAATCAGCTTAGGAAATGCAAGATTTGACGAACAGAAAGAAAAAGGAACATGACGGACCGTGCTTGTCCTAAACATATTGCAAGGTCAAGATCGGAGATGTGATCAAGATGAGGAGGTCTTTTCCTTGATCTATTGATTGCGCGTTGAAAAAGAAGACATTTCTTCTGCTTACGGGTTTCTGACATCTTCGTATCGCAAAGTCAATATGTTCACGGCTTCGATTGGTCTATACTAAAGGTTTGGTTTTAAAGCTAACCGCCCGAACTATCATGAATCCTGCTGTCCCATGAGAAAAGAGTGATGGTCATTATTTAATGCCGTGAGAGGGCTTTGTACTTGAAATATTCAATGACGTGATACAGCGCTGAAATACATGGATCTGTACAGCGTCTGAATACATTTATTCCGCTCCTAGGAAGTCACGAACTTGCCCCAGATTTCAGAGAGAGTATCCAAGCCGATCTGGGCGAACATCTCCGGCCATATCTCTCCATCACCCGCCCCCCTGGCCACCAATTGTTCCTTGCCATGGTCAGAGAGGTACTCCTTCGTATAAGCCTTCTCTTTGTCGTAAGACGGGAAGGGCGCCTTGAAGTTTATGAACGAAATCACATCTGTTGCATACTGGACTGCCACATCGACCTGTGGTGCCGCCAGGCGCTCGTTGTAGTTCTGGAATAGGAATGCGACATCAAGAACATGAGTCGAGTAGCCTTTCCACGGACCATCCCACGGGTTTGGCTCTCGGAGCTTATATTTGTAGACCGTTGACGGCCAAACAGAAGCGTAGGCTTCTGTCGGAGCTTGAAAGTTGATGTCGCTTGAGAGATGCATCAGAGAGCGCCATGCAGCATCTTCGCTCATGCCGTCTTCTATCTTGTAGGCGGCCAGCAGCTTCGAGGCGTGGTCCGGAATTGCTTCCATGGCAATTGCTTTGAAGCGCTCCAGGGCTCCTTGCTTCTTGCCGACCAAAAGCGTATCGAAGACGCTAGCCTTCAAAGTCCTGGAGTCAGCCTTTGATTTGGGAAGCAGGGAAACGGCATAGCTGTACGTACATCCATATCGAGATTACCGATCAGTAAGGCTACGTCTTTGCAGTGGCTCAGACCGTTGCCAGAAAGAACTTGCGCGAAACTGACTTCGTTCTTCAGCGTCGTCGGATCTAGCACGGGCATGAAGGGGAGGCCAGGGGGTAACTTTTCCAGTATCTCTGCCGCTGAAAGCTTCAGAATGGCATCCACCCGCTCTTTGCCAGACAGGTGCCCGAGTCCCAGAATTCCCACAACAGTACCGTAGATGCTATCGGCGACGAATGCTGGGAGAGGCCTCAGCATGGCAGGGGTACCAGCCATGCTCATAACTTGCTGAAAGGGCCTTTCGGGGCCAAACATCTCGACCAGGTGCATACATGACACTGGAACTGTCAGAAATGGAAACCAACTTTGGAAAATTATTGCTGACCGGCTCCCGCGCTCTCCCCAATGCAGGTCACTCTACCTGGGTCTCCACCGAACAGAGCAATGTGCTTCTGCACCCACTGGAGCGCAGTCTTTTGATCTCTCAGTCCATTGTTGGCACTATAGCCATGGCTTCGAAACTCTTCGGACGTCATGAAGCCAAAAGGTCCCAACCGATAACTATCTGGGTTAGCTCTCCCAGTACGGCTCATCACGGGGCCCGGGGGCAATACTTGATATTGACCCCAATGATGGGCATGTTTAGATCTGATGATAACTGGACGATTCGCGCCAGGTCGTATTGTGGCCATGCGTTTGAGCCAAGAGCAAAGCCACCCCCATGAATGAACACGAATACGGGAAGTGCACTTGTCTTTCCAACCTGACCTGGAACGGTGACATTCAGATTCAAACAATCGGTGGCCGACTGTGGGAACTCCGGGACGGGCAACGACTGCTGGATAATATTGAATTCTTTCTCGCAGCACTTTGGGGGATGAACTGCGGATGGTCTAGTCTCTATCGTGTTAGCGATCCGTTGACTCGCGTTAAGAGTGGGAGAAGACTGGGCAACCAACCCATGCTTTCCGCTCTTCATCGCCGCGATGGACTCATAGTTGATGATCTCAGCATCCGCAAAGGCATTCTTAAGTTTCGCGTATTGAACCCCCAGGTGTTGGGTGACATTCAACGCAGGGCTCCCGACTGGACTCATATTGTTGAGAGCTTTCTATAATATATAAAAAGAGACAGACTTCCGTCGATTGAAATGACTCCGATCAAGTGACTGGTGGTTGTCAATCCTAAGCCAGAGGATGCTTCGAGTTTTGAAGAGAGGTACGAAGACTTTGAAGAGAGCGAAGAGAGTGTTTATGTACCGGTACCTATGCGGAAGTGTCGGAATAGGGTTTGCCCCTCTTCCTACACTAGGATTAGCCCCTTGGCTACTCCTGCTGTACATAGCTCTCAGCTCTCAGCTCTCAGCTCTCAGCTCTCAGTTCTCAGCTCTCACCAACTAGTTGTAGAAGCAACACTTTCTGAATTCTTGATTCTATCAGTAAGAACTTAGAAGATTAACTTATATTGTTACTGATGCCGCTAGCTACTAGCTAAATTACACCCATGATCAATGATCACCTAATCAAGATGGGTCTACTACCTGCCAGCACAGTACCTATTACCCCACATTCGTTGCAAAACCAACCCACCATCCGGATCCCCCTCCTCGCATAGCAATCACGGCGATTCTTCGCGAATTATATATCAGCAGTTGCATAGGCTCAGAACTGACTGCATACGTTTCGGTCTCGGTTCCACTGCTTAAGATTCCCCTTTGCCTCTACAGCTACTTTTATCATGACCCATGCAGCTGGCGACTTCGCGAGTCGGTTCGAGCCGGCTATCGAGGACGTCGACGGCCATGCTGTCCACCAGTTTCGGGGAATCCAATATGGAACGGTTGCAGCACGATTTGCCGAACCAGAGGCGGTTCTGTACAAAGAATCCACACTGAAAGTCGATTGCACCAAATTCGGGTATTCCACTCATGTCCCCTCGCGATGGCGAGAGATCAGCTGGCAGCTAATTCCAAGATCTGCAGGCCGATCTGTCCCCAGGTCTCAATTGACTTTCATCATCTTTTGCGTGTCCCAAAAACTATCCAACTCCAAGAGTCTCCGGTCGCTCAAGACGAGTTTGGGTGTTTGAATCTAGACATCACGGCGCCAGCTACTATCCCACGGAAGCTTCCAGTTCTGATATGGATTCATGGTACGCGTTCATCACTCTGACAGAACTTGAAAGGCAAGTACTAATGTATAAAACAAAATCAAAGGCGGATCACAAGCGATGACCTTCATGCCTGCATCATCTCCGTGTGCTGATGTGGTCCCCTTCGTCGCCAACTCGATCAAACAAGATGAGCCACTCATTGTTGTATTTGTAAACTACAGGCTGAGTATATTCGCATTTGGGAATGGCAAGGGGAGCAAGAATCTCGCATTGAAGGATCAACGGGTGGCCATTGACTGGGTGGTCAAACACATTGATAGCTTTGGTGGGGATCCGGTACGAAGACTCGGGACATTCCATTTTCCCCAACACCGCTAACGAGAACGAATTTGCTTCATAGAATAACATCACGCTAGCAGGCGAAAGTGCCGGCGCGGTCTATGTACACGCGCACGTGTTGACAGGCAGCCCCGTCCAGAGGGCCATTCTCCAGTCCGGCTCTCTCTATCTCTCACAGCCACAGAACTTCGCTAAGGGAGATATGCTGTGCGAAAAGCTGGACAAGATACTTCGTCCAGATGACCTTGCCAGCGCCTCGGTGCCCAAGGTTCTGAGTGCTCTCGAAGAAGCCAACGTGGTCTCCCTGTGGCTGCAGCTGACGCCAGAGCTTGAAGGTTGGGAGACTCAGCCATCTCACGTCCAGGAATTCTTGATCGGGGACGTCGAGTTCGAGTCGGCCATCTGGCGCAGTGGAGTCGGCGATTTGAACCCGAGCGAGATCACTAGCTATTTCGACTCGACCGGCGAGTATGCGGAGGAGCTTAAGCGCGTCTACAACATCGTCGAGGACAGGTACGCGAGCTGTACGCTGGGGGCGCTGGACTTTATCAACGACACCCGCTTCTCCTATCCCGTGATGCGCATGGTGGAGGAGTTGCGCGCGCGAGGCGCCACGGTCTACAACTACGTGTTCGACGAGCCCAATCCGTGGCAGGCGTCGGCCAGAGCACACCATGCTGTCGAGCTGGTCTTGCTCTTCGGTCGGATCGACTGGACCGAGAAGCCGGCGGCGGCAGAAACACAGCAGCAGATTCGGGATCGCTGGTCCCTCTTCTGCGGCGGGAAGGCGCCGTGGAAGCAGGATCGCGTTTACGCTTTCGGTCCGCATGGCAGATGTGGCATCATCTCCCAGCTTGAGTACAGCAACCGGCGCCGGGTGGATGCGTGTAAGCTCTTGGAGAAGATGGGCGCGAAGGAATACGATGCACTTTGTGCCCGGTTAGCCGCGGGAAGGATTAGTCTACTGAACTGATGAGAACGAGAAGATGAAGAAAGAAAGAGAGAAAGAAAGAAAATACAATCAAAGTACTATTTCCAAAAGTCTTGAGAAACTAGCTGCTCGGGTTCCCCTGGATCTTTGTGGCCCAGTCCTCGTCCCCGCCTATGTACCGAAAGACAACCCGCGAGTCCCGATCCCTACAGTTGGGATCCTCGCTCGCAGCAGCGTAGGTCTGCAGTCCCGCCTCTCCCAGCTGTAACCTGGCCCCCACATGCTCCGCCGCCGCGACCGCCAGGCCAAAGTCCTTCTTCATCAGCTGCACCTTGAAGCCCCCGGCGTAGTCCTTGCTAGCCGGGGCAGCCGGACAGACGCCCGGCACGGGATTCCACTTGTCGCAGATGGTACTTTGAGCCGTACTCGTGGCGAAGATCTGGGCCAGCACGCGCGGGTCCATCCCGGCGCGGATCCCAATATTGAAGGCCTCGGCCGTCGCGATGGCGATCAGGCCCGAGCAGTAGTTGTTGCACAGCTTGGCCGTGAGACCCATCGAGGGGCCCCCGCACGCGAAGACCGACCGGCCCAGCAGGCCGAGGAGCTCGCGCAGGAGGGGCCCGTTGGGGTCGTCGGCGGCGGCGCCCAGCATGAGCGTCAGGCTGCCGTCGGCGGCGCCGAGCGAGCCCCCCGACACGGGCGCGTCGTAGAATCGCGCCGTGGGGTGCTGGGTCGCGAGCGAGCTGCGGACGAGGCTGGAGGTGGCCGTGTCGATCGTCGAGCAGTCGATGAGGATCTTGGAGCTGAGATCGCTGCTGGCGAGGATGCCATCGTCAGGGGACAGGTACACGGCTCGGACATGGGAGCCCTCGGGGACCATGGTGAAGGTCACGTCCTTGCCTCTCAGAGTTAGCATGCTGTTTTTTCTTTTTTCCCCTTTTTGTGAGGGGGGATGGGGGTGGTTTGGGCTTTTCCTCTTCTTGAAAAGGATGGATTCATTTGCGGGGGAGATATCTTACGGAGTTGGAGGCCACCTCCCGCGACGACTTGCAGATCTGCACATCCGTATCGCTCTCCGTCTCGAGCAGCTTCGCCAACGCATCGGCAGAGATGTCGTACGCATACAGCCGCGACTTTGCGGGCAGCTTCTTGGCCAGGTTGATGGCCATGGGGAGGCCCATGATGCCGAGCCCAATGAACCCGATGTTCCGTGGTTGCGCTGCCATGATTTTTTTGTAGCGGTAGGAATAATCAGATGAAAGGACGAGGAGGTATTGAGATGATGAAAAGATGAGGGTGTACTGAGATAAAAGAACAAGAATCCTATTTCAGATTTGTTTTGTATTGTTTTATTTTGTTTTTGGGGGGGTTCTTGATGGTAGCGTAGCCGAGCTTGCGGGTCTTGCTTGATGTGGCTTAGATAGTTGTATCTATTTTATCACAGGGGCGATAGAAGGAAGCATAGTGTTATAAGCGGCTACTTTGCATTACTCGATTGATTACCGCGGGGGAGGAGGAGGGGAGGGGGGACGCATGTACCTATGTACCCCACACGTGTCAGAACCCTCTCACCTGTTAGCTAGTCAGGAAGCGGGTCAACGCACCCATCTATTTGTCCGTGACGAAAAATCAATAGTAGAAGAGACCGAAAGAGAGAGAGAGAGAGAGAAGGAAAACATACATACTGCAGCAGTTCACAACGAGACTGCTGATACATTCCAACTCCCATCTCATCTCGGATTCAACCCTATACATTTATGTATATACATCCAAGAGCTTACTTCATCCACCCTTCCATAACCATACCATAACCATAGCTGCTATACTAATTTTCTTCAATATAATTAACCAAAATTTCAGAATCTCTTAAACAAGGAATCGATAGCTTACAATTAAACCACGGTCTTCGTTCCATATTATCATTATCATCAATATTTCATAAAAGGTATTCAGTCCCAAGTTTCCAGCAGAATAGAAAGTCCGCTTTCGCCTCTCCTCGCCTCGCCTCGCTTAGCTTAGCTTTAAGCAACGCCTCTCCGTAGTTACAAAATACCTTTCAAGGAAAAAGAGACGATCACTATAGCTTCTGAAATACAAATATATATCTTCGTTTGATTTGAATTATTCTGTAGCGATGGGTTTGCTTTCATTCACGCATCGGATGATTAGAGTGGGTAGATCTGAGTGTAGTGGTGTAAGCAAGACAGATGCATTTCGTGAAGATGGAGGGGATGAACTCTAGCTGATGTTGATGGTTCTCCTTTGGAAAATTGCGGGTTGATCATAGGTTTTTGGATGCGAAAGGGATGGGTTCTTATGTGTTCTCAGTTCGCTAGAAGAATCGTTCTGAGCAGGTCCCAATATATATATATATATATTTGGAATATATGGATTATTGACACTGGAGTATACGCGAGCGATCTCAAGTTGACAGTCAGGACCTCCAAGCCCAGTTCCAGACCTCGAAACACATACCATGATTGTCCTTATCCGCGGGAAATAAGATAAATACGTGCCTATAGACATCCATACTCCCCGTTCAAAGATCCGCCCGCGCGGGCTCCCCAGCCCACACCCTCCTGATAACCTCGCGCACAGGCTCCTTCTCAACCGGTCTAGGGTTAGGATAGACATTCGCGCACGCAATCTCCGCCGCCCTCTCGATATCCCCCTCGGCGAAGCCGAACGCGCTCAGAGACCTCTGGACGCCGAGCCGGTCCAGGAGGCGGTTGAGGCCGCGGAGGGCATCGCCGTCGCTGTCGGGGAGGACGGCGGCCAGCTGCTGCATGACGGCCGGGATGGCGGGCGCGTTGTAGGCCAGGGCGTGCGGGAGGACGACGGTGTGCGTCTCGGCGTGCGGCATGCCGAAGGTGCCGCCGAGGGTGTGGCATAGCTTGTGGTGCATCCCCATCCCCACCGAGCCTAGGCAGATGCCTGCGAGCCAGGCGCCGTACTGTACGGCGGTGCGGGCTGCGGTGCTGTCTGGGTGGGCGGCGACCTCGGGCAGGGAGCGGGCGAGGCTGCGGATGCTTTCTAGGGCGAGCTGGGTGATGATGGGGTTGCCGCTTGCGGAATAGAGGGCTTCGACTAGAGGTGGATAGATGGATGTATCAATGACCAGTTATAGAGGATTGCGGAAGTCGGTCTGTGAGTGGGTGAGTGGGTGGGTGCTTACTTGAATGAGCTATTGCATTCACGCCACTGGTCATACTCTGGGTATCATGATGTTAGCTTCTGTCTCTCCTTTTTTTTTTACTTTTTTTCTGACAAAGATTGGCACGCGTAGCTTCAACAACCAAGGAAATGAAGAATGATAGACTCCACGGACTCCGGGATATTTTCAATCCACGGGCCGAAATACACCTACGTACCATGCCAACAGGTAACGTCATTGTCAGGTCCACATCATAGATCACGGTCCCCGGCAAGATCTTAGGGTCCGAACGCGTCGTCTTGAGCCCATCGGCCGTCTCGCCCAAGATAGGCGTCATCTCGCTCCCGGCGTACGTCGTCGGAATACAGATGTGAGGCAGCCCGGTCCGGATCGCCAGGGCCTTCCCGAGGCCGATGGTGCTCCCGCCGCCGAGCGTGACGAGAGAATCGGCCTTGGTCTCGGTCGTGTACGCGAGCGCCTTCGCCGTCACGTCGGTGGGCGTGTGCATGGTTGCGCCCGAGAATAGGCCGGCGATGTGGCCATCGAGCCGTTGGGAGAGGGCTTGGATCTGGCCCTCTTGTTGCGGCGTCGATAGGAGGAGCGGGCGCGTGAGGTTCTGGCGCTGGAGCTCTGCGGCCAGCTCCTTGATCGAGCCGGGCCCGAATATGACCCTGCCTGGTGAGCTCTGGTAGACGAATGGCTTGATCGATTCCATTTTTATTTTCTTCTTTTTTTTTCTTTTTTTTTGGTTTGGTTTAGGTTTCGGTTCGTGGGCTATATATGGCGAAAAGCTTGCACGCGAAGAGGTTTCGAGAGTTGACAAACACAAGGTAGTAGGAGTTTGTTAAGTAGAGATATGCAGGAATTGGGAAGCTAACGTCGAGATTTTGGGGATTTGATGTCCTGCAGTCGGAGCTCGCTAAATTGAAGGGCAGTTTTGACTCTTTGATATTTAAAGCACCCCCACATGCAGACTACCAGGCATCCTGCGACCAGCCTCCTCCCTTCTTCTCTTCTTTACATCTACCTCATTGCCTACTCAAACTCCCTTGACCACCCTGCCAGGAAAGTCGAGAGTGTCAATAGCAGCAATATTTCCTCCGAGCATTTCGCAGGTCGCAAGTATTTCTAAGATAGAGTCGACCAACCGCCAATGTTGGCGCCTCCACTAAGTGCAGATGTACAATGACGTAGCCGGGCCGGACACCCACTTGTCTAGAGCGGCCGATTAACATATGAGCAATCAATCCTATATTCTTACGAAGTTGCAGTTTAGAGAAGCTTATCATCACGACTATCTTTGCATTTGTTACGTAGTAAGACGGATAGCTCTGATGTAACATCGGCGCAATTGACAATATAAAATATCAATCTGCTATTTTTCTTATGACGGTTAGGACAATTTTCTTACCAATGCAGCAGATTAAGGCTGAGAGCTGGGTGGTTAGGCGTAATACTTAGCAAAAGTTCGGTACCCATCCGTATGCACAATTGAAGGTTTGTTTACCTTGGTTAGCCGTCCCCTCGCTAAGCGGTCCCCGCTTCTCACCCCGTATCGATGTGGGGTAATTACTTGCAGTGAGAAGAAGGGGGCAAACTCGAGAAAAAGACTATCCCGGCAAATGTGGAGATGCTGTTTGGTTTAGCTTTAACAGGAGCGTGGGGAAATGGGGGGTCGCAAGTGTGGAGAATGACGCTGAACGTCGACCAAAGCCAAATCAATATGCAAGCAGAACTCTCTTTGCCGTCGCTAAACCACACTGATGAAAGGTATTAAGCAAAAGCAGTAACGGCGGTGGTCAAGGGTATACCAGTACCATTTGATTTCTCCAAATATCCTCGTTTTTCATGATACCTTCCATGTTCTGGTATACCTACGACGGTTCAATATACGACTTCAATCATATCGAGTAGGAGTCTTGACGACTCTCTTATAACATGCCGTTTATTACGCATCCCAGCGGACAGACTACTCACTACCTCGTCGACGACTTCACCGATCCATGGAAGCCGAAGGAGACTATTATCCTCCAGGGTGGGTTCGGACGGCACTCTGCGTTCTGGTATCACTGGGTGCCTATCTTGAGTCGGCACTACCGAGTCATTCGGCGTGATACTCGCGGTCACGGACTTTCGAGCTCTCCTCCGTTCCCAAGTACGGACTCTTCATACGACTTCAGCACGGATGGGATCATAGGAGAGATCGTGGACACGCTGGACCAGCTCGGTCTAAAGAAAGTGCACTTCCTGGGCGAGTCCACAAGCGGCATTCTCGGCTGTATCCTCGCAGCGAAGCACCCGGACCGGCTCCTCAGCCTGACCATCTGCTCGACGCCCACTCACCTCCCGCTCGGGGCGCAGAAACTCTTTGCGTTTGGCAAATCCGACTGGCCCACGGCGTGTCTGGAACTCGGTTCGCGGGGGTGGGCGCAGGCCCTGTCGGAGGTTCCAGGCACGATGCCGAGTCAGGAAAAGGGGTATGCTGCCTGGTGGGTAGAACAGGTCGGGATTTCGAAGGGCGAAGGCCTGGCGGGTTATGCGAATTTCCTCTGCTCAGTCGATTGTCGACCGCATCTGGCGCAGATCACGGTGCCAACACTGATCCTCGCTCCGATGAGGAGTGCGGCAACCACGGTCGCAGAGCAGGAGTCCATCCAGGCGCAGATACGGGGGTCGGTGTTGGAATTCATTGATGCTGCAGGTCACGAGATCTACGTGCAGGAGCCGGAGAAATGTCAACAGGCGTTCATGAGCTTTCTTGCGGGACTTCCGCGGGGGGCGTAGGAGAAGAAGAAGAATAGAGTTTTGAAACGAAGGGAGGGCATGAGAATGCGAGGGATTGGCAAGAGAGGTAACGTGGCGCGGACACGAAAACGAAACTCCGGTAGGACCAGGAGAGATACTTTGTCATAAAGAGAAGACGTATTGTTACCATGCGGTTGTTCAAGTTACGCAGGGCTGGGGTCTCTGAAAGAAACGGCTGGCTACCCCTTATTGTGAGCACGCGACCATACCTCGCTTAAATGAAGACGTGTGAACAGGGGCTGACCTGGTACCTTTGTTACTGATTATTTTCTTATATTTATATTACATTGAGCATCATGCGGATCCGTGCTAAGACCGTATAAACCCATAAACTGCCAAAAATAAAATCACGTGAAACACTACGACGTGACTTACGGCTACGTTGATTAGGTGCCTCCGTCAGAGCTTAGGCTACGCAGGAATACTAGAAACTTTACCAATAGCTGAGTATTGATAAAGAGAGAAGGGCTAGAGAGACAGCTGGCTGTATCGTACTAAAAAGGGCTACTATTAGGAATAGAATGTTAAAAAGACAGCTGTTTGCATGGAACTTAGGGGAACTATTACAAGGAATGAAATGCTCAAGAAACAGCTACCTGCATCGCGCTTAAAGGGGGCTATTGTTAAGAATAAAATCTTAGAGAAATGTACTCTCGGGCTAGTACATTTAAAGCGAACACAATCCTATCTTTCTTCACACAACTTTAAAGCGTAATTCTTCTAGGCTGAAGCTTAAGAATATATTGTAATCTACATCCTTCTTGCATAATTTTAAAATGTATCTCCTATACAAAGGTGACGTAGCGTTGATGTTTAAAAGCCTCGGAAAGCAGCAGCCTTGATCCGCGACCGTTGCGAAGCGAGGTCCCATGGCCCCGGAGCTTGCGGAGGGCCGCCGGGGAAAAGACCTCGAACGGGGCATAATCCGTACATGAAACTTAAGACTAAGTACCAGTGATCTATCTTACAATATATCAGAGCCATGACGAACGGTTACCGGGATGAAGTACCTCCCGATACCCGACGATCAAGGTTGCAACGATATAGTCCGTGTCCTCTGATTGGTTGGATGCATTGTTATTGTTGTTGCCGCGATCCTCGCGAAATAGAGTTTCTTTTTCTCGGATTATTGAGGGCCATTATGGCCATGATAAAAGTAGAAGGTACGAGAAACTTTAGGCTTGATAATGGCACGTGACAGGTAGCACGTGCATCCGCGGTAACCGCTACAACTAGTACAGCAATACTAGACATTACTAACATAATAAATCACTTGATTAATTTAGACTCTCAGCAACTTGTATAACTAATATTGATTGATAGTTAAATGCCCATAGATTCGCAAGGCTTGAGAGAAATAACATTAAGTCTAAGAAGCTTTAATGAACTTCGCTTTTTTTTCTTGTGGTAACGATATCTATTACCGGTTATCGGCTAAGAATCGAACATCGAATAACTTAGAACGGGAACCGGAACCGATTGCGTTTAATGCGCATGAAAGATTTAAAAAGCGGACAAGTCTTTGTGTCGGTACATCATTATCGACCCAGCTTGGTTGGGGCCAGCTCACTTACTACGTACATGAGTATGCCTCGCTTACATGGGCATGCTTCGCTTAGCGTGGCATACCCTCAGGGGGGGCCAACTTCCTTGTAAAATACTATTATATAGCTAGTCCCGTGATTCCTTCTAATCGTATAGAAATAATCCACTCCCCCGAACCTTGGGGAGCAGACAGAAATAAAGTACCATCTTTTACCGGCAGTTTTGCAAGTGCAAGAAGCTACGTGCGCTGCACGCTAGGAATGAACGATCGTTACCGGCGATCCAACAAAAAGTTTTAAGGTACTCGGAACAGTAAGTAAAATAAATACTGCTGTTGCTTCAAATACGATTTCAAACTAAATCACAACACAATTTTCTTTATCAAAAATGCTAACGATGATTCAAACCGATTCTTATTCACTTTACGAGTGCTTAATAAAGCTTAGGATGACTCAAAAAAAAAGCGATTAATGATGAACGTCATAGCGTTGCGTTAATCATCCGGAGGCAAAGAGATGGCGGAAATAACGTTAAATCGATAGAAAATCGAGCCTGGCTAATCACATAATGAAAGCTATACCGAATAAAGCATCGCATATCTTTATCGACAACAATACTTTGGAAGTCAGAATTAAGGGATAGGTGAATCGAGAAGAATAAAGAAATTGGACTCAAAAGAATGAAACTTGAATCAAGTCTTGAGCAACTCGATATTACTTCGCGATGAAGAATTTTTAAGAAAGTTTCTGTATAATAGAGTTAGAACAGCTCTTACTATAAGTAAAGAGTTGCTCGTGTCGGTTCATTAAGGGCTATTGTGGCCATGATAAAAGTAGAAAGTACGGGAAGCTTTAGGCTGAGCGGTGGCACGTGACGGTGGCACATAACCGCCACAATCAGTATAGCAATAAGGTACCGGTACTAGACATTACCAACACAACAAACCACGGTCCCCCCGATTAGTCTAGACTGTCAAGCACCTGTATTACTAATACCTTTCTTATTGGTTCGCATAAACCAATCGAATATGGGGTACTGGGGAGCCCTGACATCTGGGGCATGACTCCATACTCTATTGGCCCTCAGCCTCACTGACCAAGAGCTGGGGTGCGGGGAAAGCCAGGGCTGGTCACGGGTCATTGGCTTAAGGATCTGCCGGGTCGTTTGGAGAGTCAGGCGACGTCGTGATGAGAAAAAAAGAAACTTCCCCCCGTACGTACGGTGGATACAGGAGAAAAGTTGCCGCGGACGGATCGTCGTGGGCTTGTCTCACAAACCATCACCATCACCATCATCGTCCTCGTCCTCCTCCTCGTCCTCCTCCTCCTCCTCCTCCTCCTCCTTTCTGGCCATGCATGTCTTCCAGCCCAGTCCAGTCCAGTCCATCAATGTCGCAGATCCTCACCACCACCGCCAGCGAGGGACAAGTCGCTGTCCGCCCCCTCCCCCTCTCCAGAGCAGCCCGACAGCCTCGCAACTACGCCTGCTCCAGGTGTCCCAAGAGCTTTAAACGGAGTGAACACTGCATCCGACACGAACGCGGCCGTAAGCCTTCATCCCGCAATCCCCTCCCCTCCCCTCCAATATGCCCATGCCCTCGTACGTACGATAAACGTACGTCCGTACTTGACCGACCTTCTTCTGATCGCGTACACCATGCAGACACCCAGGAGAAACCGTTCCAGTGCCGGTTCTGCGGGCGTCGATATGCTAGGAAGTATGTCCGGAGCCCGGCTTCTATAGAGATCAATATCGTAAGTGGTCAAGCACTGATGTGGGAACCGAAAACTCTAGGGATCTGGTCACTCGCCACGAGAAATCCTTTCACCCTAATGCCGATATTCCCATCGCAGCATGCGTAGAGGTCGAGAATGCTTCAAAGACCGAGACTCCGCCGGATCTGCAGGCATCGACAGACCATCCCGTGACGCCCGTGTCCGCATCTCCAGTCGACTCCTCGATGGAGATGGACCCGGATACCTTCCTGGTGTCGAACAAAACACCAAGCGTCGCTGGCTCGGAGCAGAGTAGTAGATCCCTACGGAGCAGGAATTCCGATGCGGGTCCTTTACCCTTTCAGCTCGGCTCGGATCGCCGGCCGTCAGTCGCTAATTCCTACGACCACCACCAACAGACGATTATGGCAACGCCCCCGACCACCTTGGTCGGAGAACCCATGAATCACGAATTTGCATGGGAAGGGTCGAGGTCCGGGTCCGGGTCCGGGTCCGGGTGCATAGCTACTACCAGCCAGAGCCAGCCCAGCCAGGAGACAAGCGCATATACTGGCGAACATCCCGATTTTTCAGAATTCCTCCCTTGGTTTGCAACAGACATCGGAGAAGCAACGTGGTCGGGCATCAATCACAGCCGTGGCGGCAGTATCGCAAATGCAGACTTCTCCAATCAACATCGGCTCAATGCACCCGAAGAGAATGGAGACCAATTTGATGCCTTTTTCAGCCATGTTGACCTTCTCCAGAATGGCGCAAACTTTGGGACCGATCCCGCCACATACATGGTAGACTCCTCCAGTTCCGCGCCGTTGGAGATGGCGAAAGATCATAGTGACCAGGCGGAATGCATGTCATCATGGCCGCCGGAATCAACTGCAATAACAGCAACAGCAACAACAATCGACCAAGCCGCTTCTTCCCACACCCACATGGACGCGAAATCCGCGGCGTTCGCGAACCAGGGATCTTTCTCAAGGATGCCGAGCATAATGGCCCAGACGCCACGGAAGCTGACAATCCCTTCTCTCGATGCAGCAACCTATGATGCCATTGTTGCTAGTATAGAAAGCAAAGTCCCCCCCGAGCTCTGGGAGAACACAGGCATACCAAGCCATCATGATCTTCAACGGTTCATGGTGAGCTACTTCACCTGTTTCCACCAGCATTGCCCAATGCTCCAGCCTTCTCTGGATCCGAGCAACTCTCCCCACCATCTGATACTTGCTATTTGTTCCGTGGGAGCTCTTTATCGACTCATTCGGAAGAAAGCCAGGGATATGTGGAGTTGGGCGAATTTTCTAGCAGACACAGTATGGCTCGTAGTGAATCCTGTCGTCTCCGAATGCTAACACCATGCAGGAAACGAATTCGAGTTCCGCGGATATCATGTCACGTCCCGCCGTGGCTTTAGTACAAACTAAACTCTTGCTTGGCTCATTTGCTATCCTGAATGGAGATATGATGGAACAAGCGCTGAAAAAAGTTGGATGCTGGTGTTTGGTATGTCTAAAACCTCTGTATTGCTGCTATGAGTACGAAAGTTGATACAAGTCCAGGAGTATCGTGTTCGGCGCTGCGCATTGGCGTTGAGGCCTCATAGCCCTTCTACCACGTACGAGGAGTGGGTACTGCGAGAAACATCCAAAAGGTTAGGAACAATCCTCATGAAATCCCCGCCAAGGCTGGCTCGCTAACGCAAGCGTCATTTTGACTTCGCAGAATACTATACAGCATGTTCATCATGAGTTCGCTCATGACTGTCATCTACGATTTGTGTCCAGTATTTGGCGTTACCCAGGATCTGGATATCGAGATTTTGGATGCTGAATGTTTGTGGGAGGCAGCCAACAAGGAGCAGTGGGAATCATTTCGAAGATCACAGCGCGCGCAAAGCCCTAGGTTCACCATCAGGGATGCACTAGCCCACCTTATCCACGGCAAGGAGCAAATGGCCGTCGATGGGCAACCTGTCAAATGGAGTGGCTTCGCTACTGCGATGGTCTTCCATGCGGTGAACGTTCATAACTGGAATGTGATGCAGAGCACCCAATCTCTCACTGCTTTTGCGGTCGACGAGCAAAACAACAAGACGCTCAAAGCAGCCTTGGTGTCGCAAGTGGATGTCTCCTTGGCGCGGTGCTACGCCCTGGTCACAGCCGATCGAGCTGAGCGAGAGCGTAGCTCCGACGATCCCGAAGGGCCCCTCATGTTCAACTGCATCGCCTTGTTGCGAAGCGCTTACGTCCGCGTCTTCACCGGAGCCGGCAGCTTCAATCGCATGATGCTGCTGGGTGGGAACCCGGCCCAAGTCGCAGGCGAGATCCAGGCCTTCCTCAGCAGCAGCCAGGAACGGAGTCTCCTCGTGACAAGAGCAGCCGAGATGGCCTACGGAGGTCTCCTCACCCCCGTCAAAGCCGGCTACATCCTCGTTCAGAAAACCGCCGCCCTGACCTGGAGTATCGAGCACGCGGTCGCCGCCTGGGACTGCGCGCTCTTCGTCTCGAAATGGGTCCACGAGATGGAGATGCAGCAGCGGAACGTACCCCCCAACGCGGACGAGATGCGCATCCTCCTCAACTTCCGCAAGCTGCTGGAGGAGGTCGACAGCAGCTATGACGGCTCGGGCTCCATGGCGGCAGAGATCAGCCGGACGTGGGCCGGCTTTCTGGACGACACGTGGGTTTGGGGCATTACGCCGATGATGGGGCAGGTTCTCAGGCAGCTCTCGGCTGCCTTTGCGAAGGACTGGGCTAAGAATTTCCCGCTGGGAAATGTAGATGGGCCGTTGCGGGCGGGCTGAAATAGGGCATGATGCCAGACCGCGCTACCAGATCAACCGTTCGGCTCCGGACATTCAACCAGTGACCAACTGGACACGCGATGTCAATTTCCGGATTTTTCTTCGATTTTGACACGCTCGCTATCCTATTGACATAGGGACGAAACGAAAGACGTTGTCAGTCGATATTCAGATCGAGGGAATTGACCTCCGACCCGCGACCTGCGTCCTGCGACCTGCGGCTTGGCTGCTACTCTCTCTTTCCCTCTCTACCCGTTTTCCAAAGGAGACTGCGGAACTCTACCTACGGGTATCATCACCGGGTATCATCAACAGTGGTGGATCCGGGCGGAATACCACCAGCAGGCTAGGCATATGGTGAACTAACAAAAAGATACATTAGCGCAGATCGAATACAGAGAGACGGTCAACCAACCTACCAACCATGTATATACCCGCCAGCAAGACGCGCGCCGACGCATCTCTTTAGTAACGGCAGACCTCCTTGCTGCTCGTTAAGGAGTTTGGGTTATTTGTTCAGGCGTTCATATTCATGTCCCTCTTTCTCGAGGTCATCCCCGAGGCCTTCCTCGAGGCCCTGGGGCACAAATTTATCCGTTTTTTGTATATTTGTATATTTGTGTATATGCATGTGTTACATGTCTGCAGTTCGAGTCAAGGAGAAAATTTTCGTACTCAACATGATTGTACTGTGCCATATTACCCCAGTAGATAACTCCATCCCGGGGGACTGTACGGGGCGGAGCGGCCTTTTTGGAAAGATCCAGGTCGAATGAAAAAGTAGTATAAATGGGCCTGCATTGCGATATGCGGTCTGGCCCTGCGAAGTAAAGGCATGTTAGACGACATTTGGTGACCTAGGAGATTTGTATATGAAGTCTATAGGCTTTCCCTATGTGTCTGCTAGCAAAGCTAGGATTTCCGAGTGGGAACCGCACGAGAAAAGGTCACAGGTGTAGGTATGTACGGAGGTACCTACAGCGGTCAAGTTTTTACGAACGCGGTGATACAAATAACCTCTGTAGAAAAGGATCACTATTTTAGGTAATATTTTATACGTTTCCCCTCAGCCTCGTTTTACAGCCCCATGAGGCTCCGGCATCTCTCGATCGACAAGCGCTTGGAATTCAGATTCGCCGACCTTTTCCTGCGCATCTTTAGTAGCCGCGTGCAATTATTGAGCGAGTTGCTCGATTAAGCTAGTTAGGAGTGGGTCGGAGGACTTGGTCGCTGTGCCTTCGTAGGTACCACGGTACAGGCCTAAGTATTACCCCTCGAGGGTGCCTTAAAAGTTTAGTTTCCACTTTAAACCCCCTGTTTTCCCTACCCTCGAGGGGTAATACTTACGCCTGCGACGTAGTAAGTAGTAAGTACAGTATGGCGTAGCTTGAGTTTATTGTCTCGAGGAGGGAGGGAACTTGGAAGGGACTGAGGAAGGAACGCGGGTGTTGGCAAGGGGTTGTTCTGCGATGCAGAAATTGAGAGAAGGGGCAAATTGAGCCTTGATAGGCCCGTACAAAATCTGTGCGTATTGATGGAGGAGAGAAAGAGATGTTGTTGTTGTTGTTATGAATTCTTTGAATACTGTCAGCGAGGGATAGGTACGGTAAGCCTCACGCTACGGAAAAAAAGCCGCTTTCAGCCTTGGCCTCAAAAGTTTTTGACTCATCAAAACATTTTCCCACGCCCGCACCCCTCCTCTCGACAATTCCTTTTGTTAGACCACCCATGTCTCGACCCGCCATCGCATATTGATCCGGACAGCTCGAGAATGTACAGCACGGCGCGAATACCATTCACAGGTTCTTCCCAGCGCAGAAGTCGCAGGATACAGCGATAGACAAAGAGGTCGCAAGCCTAGGAGGAAACACTACACTCGATCGCCACAATGGCTTCAGTCAGCGAACACGTCGTTGAAGCGCGCATTCTGCCAGTCATCCTGGGGAATCTGGGGAGCTTTCAGGACGCACAGAGCCTCGAGACCTGGGAACTGCCAGCGGACACCAAGGACCTGGGGCCTCTACAGGAAGCTGCGAAGGCGCTGCGAGAAGGCGATACACCCGTCGGGTTCCCCACCGAAACTGTCTACGGGCTCGGAGCAGACGCGACCCGGAGCGATGCCGTCAAGGGGATTTACAAAGCGAAGGGTCGGCCCTCAGATAACCCGCTCATCATCCACGTCTGCGACCTCAGTATGCTACGGGGCTTACTGGCACGGGATAATGACCGGGACGAGGCGGGCGAGGTGGCCGATCCGGTTCCCACTATCTACAAGCCGTTGATCGAGCAGTTCTGGCCTGGTCCTCTCACCATCCTCCTGCCTAACCCGACGCCGAGTAGACTTGCGCCGGAGGTCACGGCAGGCTTACCTACCTTCGGCGCGCGCATGCCGGATTCTCCTCTCGCCTTGTCCCTGATACAGCTCTCTGGCGTCCCGCTCGCCGCCCCTTCAGCAAACGCCTCTACCAAACCATCGCCTACCACGGCAGCCCACGTCTGGCACGATCTGCATGGCAAGATCGACATGGTTCTCGACGGGGGTCCGTGTCTGGTGGGAGTCGAAAGTACCGTCGTGGACGGGCTGTGCGACCCGCCCGTCGTCCTCCGGCCGGGCGGCGTAAGTATCGACCAGATCCGCAAGTGCGAGGGCTGGGCTGGGGTCGTGAGAGGCTACAAGGACGCCAGCGAGATTGGGACGAGCGCCCCCAGAGCTCCGGGTATGAAGTACAAGCATTACAGTCCCAAGGCCCAGGTTGTACTCTACGAAAGGTCGAAGGGTGGAGGAGATTTCCGAACCGGCATTCCCCAGGAGCTCCATCGCATCATGGATACCGTCGAGGAGGAGATGACGTCGGATGACACCTGTAAGCAGCGCGTTCCGGGGCTCGCCAGGATCGGAATTGTGAGCACGAAGCACTGGAAGAACTGGGCTGGGTTCGACGGCGCACTAAAGCCAGCTGTAGGCAGCGCTGAATCTACTTCTACTCGCACGATAGTCAAAGTCTATCCGGAAATCCCTGCCGCGGAAATATATGAAGGTCCCTCTGAAGGGCCGTTCGAACCTGGCGGCCCTCTAGTTCGAATAGTCGGATACGTGTTCGAGAAGGCACTGGGGGGAGACAAGAGGGATATTGCGCATGGATTGTTCTCGGCTCTGCGGGAATTGGATCAGCTAGATGTGGATGTCATTTTCGTGGAAGGTATTGAGGACGAGGGAGATATCGCCGCGGCTGTCATGAACAGATTACGCAAAGCGGCTTCAAGGATTGAACCATAGACCTAGTGTATATGAACCGTACTCGTACTTTTCCGGCATGCTGGAGTAGCTCAAAATGATCTTTGAATTTTCGCAAGGCCCCATGGGCCATCTCAGAGCTTCACTTCCCCACTGGGAAAAACAAATGTAGTATGCCCAAACTCCACATGGACTCCGAGGCTTTCTCTGGCAGCCTGTATCCCACCACCCGCGCCCAGGATATGCAACTCTGCACACTCAGTTTCAAATCCCCACGGATTTCCACCACCTCTCCCGGCGACCGTTTATTTTACTGTCCCCCGTAGATAGACAAATATTCACCCAGAAAATTCACAGGCCCTGCCTCAACCAGTCTCCCAGCTTCGCCTTTCCGAATTGGGCCAGGTTGTTCATGCCCTGCTCGCTCAGATCGATGCCCTTGAGGTTCGTGACGTCCTGCGTCGGCGCCCGGCTGACGCGCTGCACGACGATGGTCGGGTCCGTCTCGAGGATGATGCCGTCGTCGATGATCTCGTCGACGGCGAGGGAGACGAGGTCGTAGTTCTCGATGATGGTGCGCTTGTCTACCGATTGCCTGTTTTGCCGCCAGGTCGGATCCTGTCAGCCACTCGACTTCTTTTCCTTCTCTCTTTCTCCCTCTCTCTCCCCGCCGTCCGTCCTCGGAATCCAGCCTGCGTAATCATTGTCCGCGCAGGAAGCAGAGTGTGCTAGGCTTTTCGAGGTGTACGGAGTGTTCTCGAAGCGCGGAGACACACACACACATAAAGGAGGAAAGGAAAAGAGGAAACGTACTTGAATAGCAGGTGCAGCGAGTCCCGCAAGGCGAGGATGACATTGTACAGCATGACCTCGTTCTCGTCCAGGCCGCCGACGACGTACATCATGATGTCGCTCTCGCTCTTGTACAGCACGATGCGGCCGTCGTACACGATGACGTCCGCCGTCTGCTTGGCCGTCTTCTCGAGGAGGCCCTTCTCGAAGGCCTTTTGCGATTTCACGTCGGGGTAGGGCCCGCCGCTGCTGATGGTGGGAGGATCTGGTTGTTCAGAAGAAAGTGAGGCAGGCGGTCAGTCCAGTCTTGCGATTCGTGTGATCTATGGAGAGGGAGAGGGAGAGAGGTGGGAAGGGGGAGGGGGGAGGGGAAGTTACTTGAGGGGCTCGGGGTGGTGGTGGTTGGTTGATGAGGCGCATTGTAGTATTTTGTGAAGACGCGGGAGCCATCTTCGGCATTGAGGATTATGACCGCGTTCACGGCGAAGAGGGACATTGAGGGCGCCATGGTTGCTGTGTTGAGAGGTTCTGGTGGGGGGTGTTAGTACGCAGGTACTGGAGCTATAAAACCACGAATGTCGTTTGGGTGGTGGCCTGAGGCATGAACTAGAACCGAGGTTTATACCGTACCCATCAGTGTATATCCCATCTTCTCTCTACCCTCTATCCTGTTTGTCTATGTACTGCTTTCCACATTGCGTTTCTCAATTTTGCTTCTGTAAATAGAGCTAGCCTGGCTCGAGTTTCATTCAATGTGGAAAAGACGATTTTTAGCCATATGCCCCCCCTTTGTTTTTTCGTTTCCCATCTTTATGTCTATACATATTCAGGGCCTACAACCGCACCAATGTACCCGCAACGGCTTCTGCGGAATCTTTCCAAACCTTAATCAATGATAATTCAGCCCCTCGCTTTGATTGCACCGAGGACAATGAATCTCATTCTTGACAAGCTTCTCGTGATCCTCCTCTGTAGGCAGAGCGCTCAACTCGTCCCCTTCTGACACTATTCCTCAACTCTGATATACTTCTGACAGTCTCCTCAACCACTTTCCACACACTAATCCTGTTCTGGAGTCATAATGTAGTTCTCTGCAAAGAGCGTAGCTGTTTGTAGACAGTATGCCAGTTGATGCTTCGGAGTTCCGTCACTCTGTTCTCGCACTCCTGGTCGCCGGCGGTACAGATCTGCTCGATACCGGTCGTTCATTTCGGCCACGGCATCCAACTCCCAGAACTACGAGAATTCTTTCTTGACGAGATTAAGAAACAGTATTTTTGAGAGGATTCGGAACTACGAGATACGAGACGCAAGGATGCGATGTCTCGAGACGATAGATGCGACAAGGTCATCTGCTGAAGCTCATTAGGGAAAACCTTGAACCTATTCGTCGGATTATCGTGCCTTCCCTGAGAATCTGTCTCGGGATATGGTGTCGCCTTCTGGGCTGGTCAGGAGCCCAGTTTGCAGTCCTAGGACCAGACCTGGAATGTCCACTGGATTTGCGCAGAGATACCGATAATGTGTCAGCAGCATTTTTCCATTACAGAAAAACTTCCTACCTCAGTTCCTGGTACGTGAAACCACCACTGCTTTTACACTGGTGGACCATTCAGTCCTGCTCCAGATTCTGGAATCCGCAACAGTCGCCGCAAGCTTGTCACTGTACCGGCTTTCAGCTCTCGTTTAGCAGCATCCCCGGCCCCATAAGACATGGTAACATGCATGCCATAGAGCCATGAAGCGCTGGAGATCCACTTCTCCCAGCCTCATCTGGCAAACTCTCTTGAAGGCTTTCCAGCAAGTATCGTGCTCTGGAACTCCCACCGGCGAGTCCTCGTCTCCTTCTAGGATGGCGTACGGAGTAGTTCTGAGGGAAGAAGCCGTCAATGCCAAAGCCAACTCTAACGGAAACCCATGCTCGAAATGATCATGGGTCCCAGTGGTCAAAGACGTGACGAAATAGTCGCTATTCCGCTCGTAGTCCGCTTGCTCTTCGTCCTTGAAACTGTCGCCCGGGGGCTTCTCGATGATATACCGAGAAAATCGCATGTCCTGACGAAAAGTTAGCCTCTCAGCCCAGTGAAGCTGCCTTTTGGCCATTCTTCCCGGCAATCGCGAATCTTCATTTCCTCGACCCCGATCCTCCATCCACTATACGCGCCATCGTACGAACAACGCTTTCCTGGAAGATGCCTCTTGTCACCCTCGCTTCCCCAGGGCACGTTTCCACACCCGCTTTCCCCTGGGAAGAAGAGCGTGCACGGTGAAGATCCCACGTCGCCGGAGAAGTACATGCCCCTTGAATAGCCTCATCCTGCTTCTGGGGCTCGGCTTTCGTGCAGAGCCGTGCGATGTTGAAAGACAACGGCACAGATCTGGCAGCTGTTCTCGTAATAGCGCATAAGTAGTCATCGGTTTTAAAATGATTGTTCAAGGAGATGAGTATCATGAGTGGGCGCTCATGTATCATAATCCATGGGACGCAGATTATGTGACGCTGAGCTGGGGCGCTCGCTGCCTGGACCGATCATCAGCCTGCGCCGGCACCATGCGTACCGTCGCACGTGGTTACACCAGAAGTTCAACACAGCGGGAGACAGCCGCAAGAGCAAATTCCTGGCTGTGTGTTTTGGTCCGCGACCATGGTTCATTCAGTAGCCCACTCCCTTTTCTCTTTCGCTAGTCCGACCGCAAGTAGCCCACATTTGTATTGTTTACAGCCCTTATATTCTATCATCCCGCGATCTTTTCCAGGGATTATTGTGATTCTTGTGGCCACAGATACCCTGAAACCATTGAATATCTATGGCAAGGGCATAGAGGTGTGATCAAGAAGCAAAATAGCGTCGTTAAATCATATTTTCAAAGTCCTCGAAATTGAAAAAACGGCTTTCGGAGTATGCACGAGATGAAGACTTTCCCACCTAAATGCAAAGTGGCACTGGAGAGTAAGAAGCTAGAGAAGATGGTCAGAATAAACGAATTAGTTTAGACTTTCGAGAGAGGCAGCAAAGAGAAGCAGAGTGGGTTGGTAGGATTCAGATCGATACCCGATATTAAACAAGGCATGCTACTATTTTACCTGGATTCTGAACCACTTATCTTTGATCTATTATTATAGGAGCTATTAAACAAGGTATGCTATTATTTCACCTGGATTCTAAACCACTATCTTTGATCCATAATTATTATAGCTTTTATATCCCGTCCTTAAGTAAAGACGCAGTGCAAGAAGATAATACCACCTTCGCGTAAAAATCTCGTGATCCGAATAGAAGTGCACACTTTGCGTTCTCGATTACAAATACATAAATCTCAGTTGTAAAATTTTTTTCAACACTTTACAGACACATTCTTAAGAGAAGCCGCAAGCAAACATCCTATTCACGCTCCTGCGGCCGAGATGATCTCGAGTTTGCCCTTTTTTGGCTCTTCTCTCCACTAGCCCGAAAAGTCTGCTCATGCTCGACTCGCGGCGTGAGGGATCATCTTCCAAGCGAGCAAGCATCTGCAGATCTCGCTGATCTCGATGAGGCTGACTAGTACCACTTCCATGACTCGGTCAAGATCTCCCCGAGGTGTTCTTACTGCCGCCATACTACTCCTCTCCTGTCGCTGTGGAAACAGTTGGTTGCTCGCTGTTTCTTGGCTCGATCGCTCCGAATCGTTGACGGATTTGGAGGATCATCTGGGGTCAGACGTGCGCATGATAGATATACTTGATATTGGGGATTGTATTAGGAATTGTGTGATGTGCAGCCATTGGAGGGGAAGGGGGGGTGGAAGGGGTCTGATTGTTTCCGTATCTCTCTGAGGCTCTGAACATTCGCTAAAAGACCAACTACCTCCGTATTGAGCTCCGTATTTAGCCCCTTTTACTGTACTTATTAAGCGAACCTTGCCAATGACCACTGTGACTGTTCGTACTGTATGTACTACGTAGTAGTACGTAGTACTACGTACTACTACCTAGGTACTCCCCATGTTTTGTACTCCCCATGTTTAAGTGTCGGACCCAGTTTAGCCCCATAAATTGTAGAGCGGTGGTTTCTGAATGGCTCAAAGCCCTGTTAACTCAATTGCACAGACTAAATAGTGACCTAAAGATACTTTTCAAGGCTGGATTCTTATACTTAGTAAGTTGATTGGTTTAAGCCCTGGTAAGATCCCTTGCAAAATTATACTTTCGACATGTATTCGTGAGGGGGAGGTATTGATGTACCCACGGTATAAGCCTAAGTATTACCCCTCGAGGGTGCCTCAAACGTCTAGTTCCCACTTTAAACCCCCTGGTTACCCTACCCTCGAGGGGTAATACTTACGCCTGGGACGTATTAGTACTTACGTAGTACTACTAAGTACTACTAAGTACTGTACGTACAACTAGCTTAAAGATCCTCCTATGCAGCTACATTTGCCGAGGCTGTTTCTTTCATCCTCTACGACATTCTAGCGAATCCCCCGGCTATTCGTCCCAGCCTGATTCATCGCAATACGCGATCGATACTTTACTGTACAACATTTGCCCTGCAGCTATCTTCAAACACTCCTCCGATGAAATCATTTATCCGAGCGATATACTTTCAATTGACTAAGAAGTTTGGAGCTCTCGTATCTCGTTGCAGCAGCAGCATGCAAGACATCATGTGAGGAGCCCACCATACGGAGCTTCACCGCAAAAAGCGGCCGAGTCCACCGGCAACAAGCAGAAGCGAACCCTGCCGAGAAAGGCTTGCAAAAGTCAGACTCCGAGAGATCCTGACTCCTAAATGTTGATTGTTCCCCTCTGTCTGTTAAAAATACTACGTCGCAGGCGTAAGTATTACCCCTCGAGGGTAGGGAAAACAGGGGTTTTAAAGTGGAAACTAAACTTTTAAGGCACCCTCGAGGGGTAATACTTAGGCCTGTACCGTGGTAACTTGCTGAATGCTTTATTGACCCGCTCTATGTTGATTTGGAATAATTGAAATGGCAAAATCAGGAGTACCGACCGAGTCTCGAATCGAGAAGTCACGCTAATCGATTGAGCCTTGGATGGAAAAACACCTCACGAAACAAAACATTTACTTTTTCTGACTCCCTTGCTTTCTTCCTCGTACTGTACTTACAGTAAACTTGACGATCGACGAGTGCCAAGAAGTCAATCGACGTCACACTGGCCACACAATAGCGTTTGTGCCAGAAATAGATACGAAGAAGCGGGTTCTTGCTCAAGCAACGAGAAACAGCCAGAAAGCTCATGATGGCCCGCTCGAAGCAGTATAAAGATCTCATTGTTCCCAAGTGAAAGAGATCATCAACTCATCACTACATCATACAGACCATCAGCCAACCATAATACCACATCTCAAAACTTCACCTCGTCACTCCAAACCGTCTAAAACTCCAAGACCCCTCTCGAAACCATCAATATGCAATTCACAGCAGCCCTCCTCTCCATTGTCTCCGTGGCCAGCGCCATCACTGTCGTACGTCTTGTCCACATCTCTCCCCCCCCCCCCCTTCCCTCCCATCACTTCCTCGCCACTGACACTCTCCAAAAGTCCTACGATCCAGGCTACGACAACGGCGGCCGCTCCCTGGCCTCAGTATCCTGCAGCGACGGATCCAACGGCCTAATCGACAACTTCGATGTCCAATCCAAGATTCCCACATTCCCCCGCATCGGCGGCGCGTACGTCATCGAGGGCTGGAACAGCGCCAACTGCGGCACCTGCTGGCGCCTGACGTACAATGGCAAATCCGTCGACATTCTCGCCATTGACAGAGCTAGCGATGGCTTCAACATTGCTCAAGCTGCAATGGACCAGGTTAGTAGCATATCCTATCCTCAGCTTTTCCCCCGGGACCTCGAGCCTATTCTATGTTCACCTACCCCCCCAGCCCGTGTGGCTTTTCACTTTCACGAAGAGGATGCTAACGGCCATGTAGTTGACCGGTGGACAAGCCGTGGCTCTGGGCCGTATCGACGCGCAGGCCCAGCAACTCCCTGCCTCGAGCTGTGGACTGTAAGACGTGGTAGAAACTACCGCGAGCGCGAGGAATGATGTGTTGTGGTGTGTGGTGATTTTAGCGGTGTGGATGGGCCAGGACTCTTAATGTGTTGTCGGTAGTATAATGGTGTAATAATAATCTCCATGTACTACGTGGGATAATAGCGGGCTTGTTTTGTACCTGTACGCTGAACGTGACATCTGGTTGCAAGTGCCAACGACACCTACTCAAGAGCATCGCTTCTCGACTGATCGAGCCCTAGATATCAAACTGCTAGATGCAATAGTCAAAGCGTTTGTGCAAAATCTTGTCAGACAGATCGCTCTGTATTGGATGACATACGTAGATATAGAAATATACGGAGTACTTAGGCTAACACCCCCTAGCAAGCATACCTACTAGTACTTCGGCACAAGCGAGAAGAGTAGAAGCTACTTATCGAACCTTGCAACGTCTGACGTGAAGGAAGAAATACTGCAGATTCTAGGGCCTTTCAAATGTCTACACATCTCTCAATCCACCGCTAGGACTCGACAGACACTCTGAATAGTAAGCTTACAAAACGGCTTGAGCAATCCATCTCCGCGTGATAGCTAATCGCAAAGCGCTGAGAATAAATGCTAGTAATGTCAAAGCGGACTTCCGATATTGAATATATATATATATATATATATTTACATAGTATATTCATTTTTATTTTAATCTCAATGATCAATACTCTCTTCGCTTGATTATTAAGCGATAATGCCAATTGGCTTATGTCTCTCTGTGTTTCTTAAGTTTTTTTTTAAAAAAAAAAAACAACCTATATTGTTGGAACGTGGGTTTTTTCTTGGCGTTTTAAAAACAACCGATTTGGAACCTGGCTACAGAACAGGTGGGTGGGTAATTGAGGAATGGTAGTGGAAGCGGAAGTCGCGAAAAAGCTGAAGAAGCATAAGGAGTATGTATAAAAACTTGACGGGATGGATAGAACGATACCGCAATTAAGATACAGATAAAGATAGAGATGGAGATATAAGTATCTTCATAGAACTCACTGAATTATAGACTCGAGATTTGGGAAATGAGGATTGAAAAAGACCACGCATGCACTTGCTAAATTCAGCCACTGTCGCCTAGGCGATGACATGATTTTAAAATAATAAACATTTGATTGTAATTATCTATACACAGCACAGCGATGGTTTCACAAGAAGAGAGCGGAGGAGTAAGGAAAGGAATTCGCTGATAATTTGATTGCCACGGATGAAAACTTTCCAATTCTCTTTCCCGGTATATCTATTGCGTATTACGGAGCGATAGATATGCGCAAACGACCAGGCAAGAGAAAAATTAATTAAGCGAGCTACCCTTATCTCGCATATTATTTCTCCCAACCACTGGATCTCGTTCATGTGTGCAAAGAGCAGATCATACGGCTCCGTGCTATTCGGGGGATTGAAAGGAATTTATAGCGTCACGTGTTACTGCTGAGTGTTCCATCATGGTAGCGGAGCCAATATGACGAAGCAAGTCTGTGCTGGAATAGGAATCTGAAACCATACTGTCGACGACAAGTATGCCCAGATACAGACCGGATTGGGCCCTATTTCCCATTCCGATCTAAGATATAGGAGGCACAAAACTACTCAGCCAATGGTGGTGTAGGCACTCGCAGGCATAGATCGCAGCTGAATGATATCCAAGATAATGATCAAGGTACGCGAAGCGCAGTACAGAAACCCGACCCCGTACATTAGCAGCGTAGCTTTCAGCGGTATTTAAAGCAAAGGATCTTTTGACACGGAGTTGTTTCTCAATCGCGCTGCAATCTCAAAGAGCCTTGATCGCTTCCGTTTATGCTTGGCCGAAGCGGTGTCCTCGGAAGGCGAAGAAGACTAGGAGGCTGCGTATGCGTGTTTTACCGGGTGGCGTTCGCAATTGCTTCCAGCCGATAACAGATTGCGGAGTATGTCCATACTTTAAGACTCGAGGATAGATAACGTAGGGCTTTTGAAGTATTGCGCGAAGGCTAGATAAAGGACGTAAGCAAAAGCGGTGATAATAGAGGATAAAGCAAGGGCAATCATCATAAAAAAAGCTCGCTACCCGCCACAGGATCTGTTCGGTTGGTGTAGGCAAATGATCGTTTCAGCCAGCGAAGAAGATGCCCGAGTATAGCAGCGAAGTAGGAATGAAAGCTAGCAGTGCCCCTCTCGCTTTGATATCCAGCCACACGATGTTTTTGAAGCTGTCGTAAACCAGGTTCCTCGAGGCAAAATTTATATGCACCTTACGCAATATGTTGATCCAATAGGTCCAGTACAAAGACCAGTGCCATCTTTCACGGCTGATGAAATCCAGAGGAGTTCTATGATATAAACCTGTGACGGCATCGCCGCCTTCGACGAGAATCTCGGCCATGCAATTTATCGTAGTCAAATTCTCTAGTATTGCCACATCTGCTCCTATCTGCCACCAGCAAAATGTGGTTCCGAAGCTGCAAAGTATGAAAACAGCTATCGTCAGCTCGAACCCACTGACGAAGAGCCCTTGCACGCCGCGCGCCAGAGGATGTGTAATTGCGCATCTGTTCTGGCCGGAATCCGAAGACACAAAATCGACCATGAGCATAGAAACATGGTCACCAAGCAGCCCCAAAGAATTTTGAGGGAGAAAATTGTGCGTCCTGTAGCTGGGAAGTTAACATCTGGATCCGCAAATCCGCCCCCTCGAACGTTGAGTTCAGACTCACAAGGCCCATCTCCCTCGACCTGTGCCCTCAATTCTCAATATATTTAATCAAAAAAGAAGGAACATAGATTTTTCAACTCCGAAGATTCCTGTGACACATTGCGAGTCGCGACCCTGCGACTCTCGTAAGCGACCGTTGTCTACTATATTTGACTCCTGCTGCGCCGTAAGCTCTTCCTCTGCCCGACGCCCAACATGCCATCCACCGGCCAAGAACCCGTCATAAACAAGAACCAGGCCCTTCAAGATTATTATGGCGGCCTCGAGTCGAGGGTCGGGTACCGGTTGGTGCTGGGAGGGACGCGCCATTTCGGATACTACAAGGCCGGGACATACTGGCCGTTCCCCATCGGCAAAGCTCTACGGGCATTGGAGGACAAACTGATCGAGACGCTGGATCTTGAGAAAGGATCGAAGGTCCTGGATGCTGGCTGCGGCGTAGGACACGTCGCCACACATCTAGCAAAGAAGGGAGACTGCGTCCACGGAATCGATGTCGTGGACCACCATATTATCAAAGCGCGTTGGAACATCCAAGCTTCCGGTGTCGATGACCAAGTCGCCATCAGCAAGGGCGACTATCATCATCTGGAGGCTTTCGCAGACAACAGCTTCGACGGCGCGTATACAATGGAGACGTTCGTCCATGCCACAGATCCAGAAAAGGCGGCAGCGGAGTTCTTTCGGGTCGTCCGGCCGGGGGGATCGCTAGCCATGTTCGAGTACGACCATGTGGATTTCAATAACCAAGCAGATGCAGTGGGCAGGTCCTGGACTACCATCAATAAATACTCTGCCATGCCGGCATACGATCGGTTCCAGGGAGGCGTCCTGTCGAAAATCCTGGAAGGGGCCGGATTTCAAGACGTCGTCGTCGAGGACATATCCGACAACGTCCTCCCCTTGATGAGACTCTTCTACATCCTTGCATTTATTCCGTACATGATTATTGCGCTCCTGGGTCTGAAACACAGATTCGTCAATACGGTGGCGGGATACGAGGGGTATGTCTACCGAGACGCAGTCAGATATATTGCAGTGTCGGCGAGGAAGCCCGACGCAACAGATGGGATCAGACGGAGTGAGAGGAAGAAGACCAGATGAGATTCTGGACTTTAACGCAATAGAAGCCGCCATGCCCCGAGCTCGACTGCTTGATCACGCGCTACGTGAAGAGGTATAGGCATCTTATGGATCCTGTAGTTGCCATCAGCCGGAACGTATCGTAGCTCAGGCACGGCTTCGACAGATATAAGAGTGGCCATCCAGTGTGATACTGGGTTTGGCTAATTCGAAATGGTCAAACCATTCCTTTATTCACTTAATGTCTTTTCTTGTTTTCTTACTCCTCCAAGTAAAGTCCTCACGCTCATAGGAATTGTCCAGCCCGAACGGTCAGCGGTCAACACTTTTGAATCAAACATCACTTGAGGATGATGGATCTTTACAAGTCGTATCAAATACGGAGCATCGGGGCTTTTACAAACTCAGTAATTGAGGGGGGTTTTATAAAGGTACTGCCGCTGGTTCAAAGGAGCTCTTATAAGTCGGCAAGGCAGTATTTACCTCCGAAGAAAGGCCGAGCTTATCGCTCCATAGTGTTACTTCTATCACAAAATACATTGATCCCACCTCTTCAATCCTCTGACCGCCTCGTCTCATCACCATCACTATGACCATCATCTTGTCGTCTCTTCCTCTTCGGTTGACAGAACTTCTACGTCCATATTTCACTCCAAAGACATGATATCACTCGACAGTACCAGAAAGCTATTTGATCAACTATTGCGACAAATGCGCAACCTTCCCTCGTCCTGTACCGTCTTCCAGAGTCGCCTCGATACTGAGACTTGACTGAGTCGTCCATGGCAAGATGCCACGAAAGAAGAAGCCTGGGGCTCCACCACCCAAGACTAGAAGCCGGAATGGATGCAAGTGAGTTGGTTCTAGCTTTGTGCTCCAGTATCAAGATCCAAGGGGAGAATAATCCTAGCTCCTAGCGGGTGCAATTCGCTATGAACCGGGCTCCAGACGGTGAGGCAGGCATTGGCATATAAACCAAAATTTCGAGGCTTTTTCTGATCGATGCTACTATCTCTTACGCAGTTTGCAGTCTTCCTGATGGCTGTGCAGTTTCTATAATTGTGATTACCTAACATCATCATTGGATTCTTATTACTTAGCTAACTTGCTTCCAGCCCATGCAAAGCTAGGAAAGTCAAATGTGACGAGAGGAGGCCGCATTGTTTGAACTGTGAACAACAGAATTCCAAATGCAATTATGACAGAATACTTAAGTGGGGAAACGAGGTTGGACCCTATAACTCGACGATACCCAGGGGGAAACGGCAGTCAGACGGCGATGCGGTGCTACCGGACTTCTCTGCCAGACAGATAGTCTTTGGGCATAGCTCAGCAGATAGAAATATACCCAAGGATCCGCGTCCCCCATATCCCGTAGAAGAATCACCTGCGGGACCCAATGGGCCAACACACCGGAGTCTTCCGTTATTCAAAAGACCCAACAGCTCTGACCGTCCTTCGAGCGCAGGCAATCATCAATCTATACCTCCGCCGCCTGCTAGAGAACCGTACGTACCACTTGATCCTGCGTTGAGTAGAGAAGGCGTCGCTCCGTTTTTGCCTATTCCTGGCAATGGCCATCGATACCCTCAATCATTTGAAAGCTACAGACCAGCTGTGCACGAAATGAGGATATGTTTGCCTGAACCAGGCCCAGCAGTATCTTGGATGCGCGAAACAGCCAATGAAGACCCATCGATATCGACCCCCAATGATCACGATTTGAGAAGCCCAAGCGTTGGCACTTTCTCAAACCGAAGCACCACATTGAATGTCGACAGCCCAGCCTCTACGCCTCCGTTATTCATCGGCGCAAGAGATGATATACCAGATATCTGGAGTCATGACAGACCACTGAAGCGCATGCGTGCTCGATACGGGCATGATGCAGGCCCTTCCTATGACCTGTCAATGCCACCACCAAATTCTGGCAGCTTCACTCCTCACCATCCCGAGTTTTTGTCGACGTCTTATTACAACTCAGGATCCACCAGTAATCCGCTTACCCCAGCTTCGGACACTGGCGACGACGGCTACAGACCATACTCTTCACGATCCCCCCATCTTTCGCAGGATTCGCCTGATTTACGACGGTTATCCGTCAACTCCCTTCTTTCAGGGCCCCCAGGAATTCCTGCTCCGACGAGCAATCCGGAGGTACGAGACTGGTCCGTTGAGTACCAGGATACTTGGTCAGACTCCGTGATTTATGGCATCGATCGAGGGCTCAAAGACCTTGATATCAGAAGAAATGACGATATGAACGCGATCTCTGGGTCATCCCCGGTAACGTCTAGGGACCAGTTCGAGTATACCGTTGAAGACGACGGATATGCAGAGTTTGGATTCGGCATGGAAACCAACAATTCTGCATTCGCTAGTGGGAGCTACTACGACAAACCAGTCACCATCAGCATTCCGATATTTCACGGGGTGTTGCCGAGCAAGCTGAAAGAGAATCCTATGAACATTTTATACTTTCATCACTTCATCAACCACACGGCAGGCTGTCTAGTCCCGCATAACTGCTCTTCCAATCCTTTCAAGAGCATCCTACCACAAATGGCACTTCAAGACGATAATTTACTCAACCTTCTCTTAGCATACTCAGCTCTACACAGAGCTCGTCTGCTTCGTCAACCTGAACCCGAGCTTCGGATCGCCCTATGGGTCCAGGACATCTTTCCAAATCTCCGGAGAGCCCTTGATGAACCGGATCAGATCATCACCAACGCAAATCTTGCTACAGCAATAATGCTGGCATCTCTCGAAATCATTTCTCCGAGAGCCTTCGGTGTCGAAGTCCCGTGGCAGAACCATCTTGACACAGCTCGGCAGATGATTGCTGCAAGAGGGGGGCCACAGAACGTCCAGACGGCATCACGTGGAGACACGGTTCTGTCATTTCTCTGGAGTTGGTTCGCATATCTGGATGTTCTAGGTAGTCTGAGTGGTGTAAAAGCCAACTCGTCAACACTAGTAAGTGATCTCTTATTGTCTCCAAGTAGCCTAGGGCTGGCTTGCTAACGCTTCTTAGTCCTGGGTCTTGGACGTCGAAATCGATGACCAAGATGAGTACCAAATCGACTGTATTCTCGGCTTTACGAGTAAATGCGTTCGACTTTTGGCACGCGTCGCCGAACTCTCTCGGATGTGTGACAGCGAAAGGATCGACTCAAACCATGAGATAATAGCGGACTGGGAACCTTCCCAAGACATGGTCGACCGTGCAGAAAAGCTCGAAGACGAACTCATAGAATCGCGAGGACATCCCTCGAAATCCTGCACTCATATGCAAAGCTCTGGAGAAGCAGCGTTCCGATGGGACAGGGTCGAGATGACTGCGACTAACGAGGCATTCCACTGGGCTGGCTTGGTCCATCTGCACCGGAGAATACTCGGCAAGGACTCAACGCACCGTGACGTCCAGACAGCCGTTACCGAAATATTCGGGGCGTTAAATAAAGTCCGGAGAGGAAGCAGCGCAGAAGCATGCCTCCTCTTTCCGATGTTCACTGCGGGCTGCGATACGTCGGATGAGCGGAGACGAGCGGATATTCTGGAGAGGATCAAGGGGATGGAGTTGGTCGGCATGACGCAGATCCATAAAGCTCGCGCGCTCATGCAGCGAGTATGGGAGACGGGGAAACCTTGGGAGACTCTTGTGGCTGGGGAATTCTTTGGCTGATGATAGTACTCTTACTATTGGGGGGGGTTGAACAGAATGATCATAGAAGCTCTGATGGTTTGAATATAATGAATACTATTCATCTACTCATCAAAATGTGCAATCCTAACTCGTGACGATGAGGAGGGAATGTCAAAAGATGCTACCCACTTGAGCGAGATTTGGCTTCGGAGACGAAGCGCTGTTCTGTTCTGAAGTTCATTTCATTTTTACATCATATCGCGTCTAGATACCTGGGTCGGTAGGTGGGTTAAAATAAAAATGTTTACTGCCTGCGGCTAAGACTCTGGGTATGAATGAAAGCGAGATGGGAGAGGTTCTTTCTTCTTCTTCGTGTGGATGAGGAGACGTTTTTGGTTTTGAGATTGGGGCTTGGAGTTTAGAGTTTGTTTTGGTTAAGAAGGATAGGTAGGGTGAGAGAACGGGATAGATAGATGGATAGATCGATAGATGGATCGATGGATACCTTTTACTTCTACTTCACTTCACAGAGCGGATATCCTTCCCCGTTTGCTGAGGAAGCTACAAGAGGACATCCTCCTTGAAACCACGCAAAATAATCAGGACGAGAGCGAGAGAGAGAGAGAGAGAGAGCGAATTTCCGATGCAAGAAAGTTCATTTGTTTCTCTTGTCCTGCCTGAAAGTCGTTTCGTGAGATCTCTATGGTACATAAAGAAAAGAAAGGGAGGAAAGGAACATCATCTTTTGCCCGTCTACGCCGCCTGTGCCCAGATGCCAGAAGTGGTATTAAAAATCGGGAAAAGGAGAGAGAAGAAGAGAAAAAAGGAGAACAGAATCCCAAGGTCTGCCAGAGAACCCTGAGTTGGTACTAAAAACGCGTATGCAGGAAAGCCGTAGGGGGCGGGTTTCGGTTGTCTTTCGAAGACATTTGTCATGGCCAGCAAGAACGTTACCGGGGATAGCCGTGTGAAAATGAGACGGTGGTGTTGGGATATCCCAACCGTCTACATTTTGCCGGCACCGGCGCCGGCGGCGACGGAGGCCTCGACTTCGCTGGCCTTCTCGGCGGTGTATTGGTAGGGGACTTTCAAGGTGCACTCCTGGGTGATGCGGGTGGTGGTGGTGCCGGTGAGGATGTTGTTGACGTCGCAGATGGAGCCGGGCTCGGCGGAGTCGAGGTCGGTGACCATAGCGAGTTTGGCTGGAAGGGTGGTATGTTAGTACGTGCTCATTTTGGAGAGGATGTCAGGAAAAGGAGCTGGAAGAGGAGGAGGGTGTGATAGTCAAGAGCATGAAATGATTGACTAGCTAGGGTGTTGCTCTTGTGTCTTTGCTTGGAACTTACTATCGTTGAAGACGCATTCCTCGACGTAGACCTGAGCGCCCATGCGAGAGTTGATACCAGATGTCTGGGTGCCGGTGACGTGGTTGTTGAAGATGTGGACGGTTCCGAATCGGACGGATGGGAGACGGGAGTTGACCTTGTCGAACAGGTTGTGGTGGTAGGTGATGTGGAACTTGCCGCTATCTTTGGCAGCCGCTTTGTCTGAGTGACCGACGAGAGAGCCCTTCCACTACATCAAAATACTAGCGTCAGCACTGGGCTCGGGTATGGTATGATTGACTTCGGGGTGGTCTTCACGCCTTCCCTTGGAAGACTTGTTTTCATAGCACCATATCCAGGAACATCGATGTACAGGCAGAGATTTGTACTTACGTGTCCCGAGAACTTGTTCCAGGAGACGGTGATATCATCAGCGGCGTGGGTGATATCCAACAGTCCTGTTGGGCTGATCAGTATTTCAAGTTCAAGTAATAAGGTTGGCAATATTCCTCACCATCGTAGTCATCCTTGCCTCCAGTTAGGCCCATGGAGGCGAAGGTGTTGTGGTCAATCCAGATTTTCGTCGACTCGCTGATGGCGAGAAGGTCGCCCTTGGCTGGAGCAGGGCCCATAGCCAAGTTCTGAAAGATGACATTCTCTCCCTTGCGCACACGAAAGCCAGTGTCCTTGACACCCGCGCTCGCCCCCTTTCCGAGGACGGAGGTGTTGCTGCCAACATCGACGATACCGCAACCCGAGATCATGCCCTCGATGTAGACAATCTTCTTGCTGGTATCCTTCTTGTTGACAGCAGCGATGAGAGCCTCGCAAGATGAGACTGTCGTTTCGGTTCCGCCAGCACCTCCAGTAGTTGCTGCACCGTAACCGATAGGAGACTCTGCCCGAGCTTGAATGCGGGCAGGAACAGCGACAGATGAGGAAATGAGCCCGAGAGCAGCGACGAGGACTTGAGACTTCATTTTGATGGTGTTGTAAAGTGAGTTCAAAAGACTAGCTTGATTGAAACGACTTTTTTGGTTTTTGAAGATCGGTTAAAGGGAGCGTTTGAAAAATAACGACTGAGTGAAGGAGCGATTGAAAAAAGTGAGCAGGGAAGTGAATGTAATTGATGATGTGAATGAATGACTTGAATGCGAAGAGATGGTGATCTTTAAGTACCTATGGTGAGGTCTTCTGGACTTCTCACGGCGGCTAGCATGGAGTTCAGGTGCCCCTCCTCGTCAATTCTTCCGATCCACTAAACATAGTGCTTTAGTAGGCAGATAGATGAATTGGAGAGAGGATATGCTTAATTCGCAGCTTGCCGATTGACCAAGTAAAGGTTGCCGGTGCTGAGTCTATCGTGCTACGAAATGCTTACCCACTCTGCAGTCGAAATAAACGTCCCTGGCCATCGAGATAGGGGGTCGCTTGTGGGCTAAGATGGGGCGAAATCTTTGCGTCCAAGAGCTTCCAAGAAGTCGAATAAAGTGTTCCAACGCAACAAGGGCGGGAAGAAACATCAGGTCAGGAATAAACAAGACGGTATGGCGGTGCATATGTGGCCGAGACAATGCCTCGAATCGTATTGTTACGATCACGCCAGAGCTCCAATTCTCCCAATATGAAATCTTGTCGCCAACCCCACACTATGCGATACATCGACAGCCGGTCAACAAAGTGCATATGGATTCTCACCAGCCTCTGAGGGGAAAAGGAGATTGCAGTGGATAGAATGATTTATTTCCACCGAAGAGATACTCAGAATGGTGGAAAATGTCCCTCGAATAGGCCTTGAAGTCGACAAGCCTATCAGAGCAGGTCCATTACTACATCAAAATAACCGAAATATTCACGAACGCCTCGATTGACGATATCAACAGTCGAAGTTGGTTGTATGAGCGATGGCTGGTATGTTCGTGGGCTAGTCAGTCACATCCTTACTCGAGAGCCTGGGTCATACATAGAGTACAGATTTGCGAGTTCTGATAGAAGTTGTCCATAATTCGAGGATGTGGAAACGGTCTCCACGAGCCTTTCAATATCGATCGCCTAGGCCGCTAATCTGAAACCTGAGGTGGCAAAGCCATCTACCTCCTGCATACGGAGTAGGCTCGCTTAAGTCTTAGCACACTTGCATATTTTGACTTCATAGGCAGCCTCACCATCTTATGGCTTTGTGTCTGCAATAATTTGAGAAAATAATACTTATTAAGATTCCTCGAACGGTAAGGAACCCATTCTTAGATTCGCTTTTGTCAAGACTTGGAACGATTGAGTTAAGCGAATTCGGGGGCTGGGTCAGCGCCCGGTATATTTTGTTGGCTTGGCAACGCTCTGGGGGTATTGACGAAGCAATGAATGCATTGAACATCACGTCGCGGATTATTACCCGCCTTCCTAGCGCTTAGGTTGGATAAAGTGGAGTTGTGATTGTCTGTGCAACCAGCTCTAGCATTCATTGCCCTTGTTCCATATTTTTTCACCGCAATACTACTTACCTGTATCTACTTCTCACTGCAGTATCGGCTAAAGCCTTTGTTTGACCTTTGCAACGGATTCGATAATGCTGTTGAGAAATCCGCTTAAGTAGGCTACTAGTTGCATAATTGACAGTGGACCGACCATAAGTACCTTTTTGATGTTGACGACGCCAGGTCTTGTTATTTGCTCGTGGCGGGTCTCTTGCAGTGCGTAGTGCAGAGCCCCAAGGGGAGCAAGGGTAGATTGTCGCTATGCTTTGGCTCGTGCCACCGTGCAGTAGCGCGCTGCTAGGCTTGTTCCGCAGATTAAGGATTGAAGACGTTTTGCAATACAGTGTTCCAACCTGTCGGGCCAGTACTGTACGGATTCAGGTAGCGTCCTTAAAGTACAAATTCAAAATCAGGTCGTTTTCCACCTGCTGTGGATCTCCAAATTCCTTTGTTTTTCATAGATATGATTTTCATTATGATATAGTAGGCTAGCAGTCATAACCCTGATGGGGTCCAAGAATGCAGCACACGTTTGGATATTGCAATAAGCAACTTTTCTTAACCGTTTTCAGAATTTCAAGTTCCAAGATACATCGTCATCGAGTCTTGGCCATCTGCGAATATGCTCGTAGCCGCTTCACGGATTCTCCTTGTGCCGATTTGAGCACGCGCCTGAATGATGGGCTCTTGTGCTACGTTGTATATATTATCATAGCTCGGCAGCTCTATGCCCTCAAAAGATCAATGACGTCTATTTCGACTTAGGATATGCGCGATCTGAAAAGTAAACTCAACACTTTGCAGACAGATTCCGTTGTTTCCCTTCTCTATGCCAATGCAACGACGAAGTGGGAATTTCCTAGTATGTTGTTGCATAGTCCAGGATGAAGACATCACTAGCGAACATCGCAGAAGCCGTCTACTTGTCGGTTAGCACCATGAAAATAATGTGTTTGAGGCACATTTATTGGCATCGAGTCTTGCGTGTGGAAAAGAATGTGCATTGCTATTGGTATGGCCCCATGCCGTAGCCGACACCGCTTACGATCTGAACCGTTCTACCGACGTCATCAAGAGGAAAGACAATGTACGGAGATACAGCGGTTAAGTCTTGTGACCCTCGCCGCTACCGAGCCACTATCCTGAACCGAATTGAACAATAACGTGACCGTCAGCACCGGAACGTTGAAGAACCTTATTTTGACATTGGCCAATTAAGTTAAGAAAAGTGGTTATGAGGCGCCGAGAGTTGCAACGCTTAGCCGCTGTACCTCCATGCAGAGTGAAAGTATAATTTTGCAAGGACTTTTATCCGGGCTTTAACCCAATAATTAACTTACTTACACTGTACAACGATTCAGAAGCTGGTCTGTGCAGTAGAGTTGACAAGGCCTTGAGCCAGCCATTCGGAAACTACCGCGGTACGATTTAGAGCGCCAAAAGTAATACGTAGTAGTAATACTACTAAGTACGTACTACGTAGTAGTCTGCCTTGATTTTTTTTCTCCGTAGAGTGGGAGGCGGCCCGCGGGCGGGGCCCCGGGTTAGTATTGGTGGTGGAATTCATTCATCTGGTCCCAACCAAGCTCCCTGTGCACCATTTCATTACCGAGCCAAAACATCCGATACTCCCCACGAAATAGCAAGCAGTTAGCCGACCATCAGCTCATTGCGGAAGAGAGTGTCTACCTCCGTATGAGCAGCCCTGCTATTATCCTCGCCTCAGCTCTACCCGCAAAATTCGGTAAGTGGAATTCATCCTTGTGATGCTAGAGAGGCTTGGAGGGTTAGCACGAACATAAGCAAAGCCGAAAATTAGATATATTACCTAGTCCAACCGTAAATACAGCACGTAGAAATCTTCAGACGGAAGAGACGGTGTGCGGGTCTGCCAATAACGTTTAATCTTTCTTTCTTGATTGATCAGTGCGTTGACTGCGCAGAGGGCCAATTGATCTCGAAACTATGCTGGAGCCACAATTAACATACAACTACTACTATCTTCACCGATTAATTGTAGAAGTCAAAACCTGCCAATACAGGCAGTGCGTCGATCTGTATGGCATTTCTCTATGAGCAAGTATTAGCGTTGCATCTTTAAGTGAGATCCTTACTCCGTCCTTGTAAGTAGAAGAATAGGTAATCGTCGGCTCGATTAGGTGGGCCTCCTTTCATCCTTTCGGTCTATTAGCTCGGCTACGAGACGCCGCTCGGTAAAGCCCCTGAAAAACACCATATGTCTTCCATCATGTGAAAAAATAGTAAAATAGTAAAATGATAATAATATTACAAAGATATCCCATTTAATCCGATCATTCTTCTTTTCCCCTTTGTTGCGAAATGTTATACACGTTATAACCAAGTATCTCGGAGCCGGTCCACGTGACACGATTCCCTGGGCTCGGGCCAAGACAGAAAACCACCGAGTCTCGGTCTCCGCAATTGCTCGGATCGGTAACCCCAACTACGCCGGGTCCCCAACCATATTCCAAATAAAGGGCGTCATACCCCGCGACAGAGACCCGTCATGGGTAAAGCCGTCAACGTCCTATCCGGCATCCTCGTCTCCAGCACCGTCGCGTATATACTGCCCCTATAAGTCCCTTGGGCCCCCGGACTTCAACATCTGGGTCTTCCTCCTGCTCGTCGGGATCAAGCTAAGACAATGCCTACCCACTCCGCATACCCCCTGATCGATGTCCCAGATGTGGATCTGTGGACCTTCTTGTTCGAGAGAAAGGACCGACCGTTTCCTGACGACAAAGGTAGGATTCTGCCGCTAGGATTACTAGGTGGTTAGAGGGGAAAGAAGGGCTGATGAATTCGGGTTGCAGTGATCTATGTTGACCCCGATGCGAATCGGTCGTATACTTTTGGACTGGTCCGTAGTACGGCTCTTGAGTTTGGCAAGGGCTTGAGGGCAGTCTGGGAGTGGAAGAAAGGCGATGTGCTGGCAGTATACACGCCCAATTGCATCGACACGCCTGCATTAATATGGGGTACACATTGGGCTGGAGGAATCATCTCTCCTGCGAACCCTGGATATACTGTAGATGAACTGGCATTTCAATTGAAGGACTCGGGAGCGAAGGCATTGGCGACACAGAAGCCGTTCCTGAAGACGGCGCTGGAAGCATGCAAGAAGGTCGGAATCGATGAGGATCGAATTATCTTGATCGGGGACGAGAGGGACGAGACGATGAAGTTCAAGCACTTCACAGGTATCAGGAACCTTGCCGGAACGAGCAGATACAGGAAGGCAAATATTGATCCGAAGAAGGATCTAGCGTTCCTGGTCTACAGTTCTGGCACTACTGGGCATCCCAAGGGCGTCATGTTGAGCCACTCCAACATTGTGGCGAACACCTTGATGTTAACTGCTGGCGAAGCCGGGAACTTGACATGGAACGGGGGGCCGAAGAAAGAAGGCGACAAGATATTGGCCTTCCTCCCCTTCTTCCACATCTACGTACGTTTCTAGTCCTCTGGGTCTTCAAGTGGATACTGACATCTACTCCCTCAGGGCCTGACCTGTCTCATCCACCAATCGATCTACGGCGGCCTCCAACTGATCGTGATGCCAAAGTTCGAGCTCGAGAAGTTTTGCAGCCACATCCAGAGCCACGCTATCACAATGATCTACATCGTGCCTCCCGTGATTCTGCTCATGGCGAAATCGCCGGTCATCGACAAATACGACCTGTCGTCCATCCGGATGATGAACTCCGGCGCAGCTCCTCTTACCAGAGATCTCGTAAATGCCGTATACAAGCGCCTCAAAATCCCCATCAAGCAAGGCTACGGCCTTAGCGAGACGAGCCCCACGACGCACGCGCAACCTTGGGAGCAATGGGACAAGACCATCGGCAGCGTCGGCAAGCTGCTGCCCAACCAGACGGCGAAGTACATGTCTGAGGACGAGAGGGAGGTGCCGGCCGGCCAAACAGGCGAGCTCTGGATCAAGGGTCCGAACATCTTCCTCGGCTATCTGAACAACGCAGCCGGCACCCAAAACGCCCTGACGGCCGACGGTTACTTCAAGACCGGGGACGTCGGCTACCAGGACAAGGACGGCAACTTCTACATCACGGACCGCATCAAGGAGCTCATCAAGTACAAGGGCTTCCAGGTCCCGCCGGCAGAGCTCGAGGGCTACCTCATCGGCCACCCGGACATTGATGACGTGGCCGTCATCGGCGTCGAGGACCGCGAGCAGGCCACGGAGGTGCCGCGGGCGTACGTGGTGCCGAAGCGAGGCGTCGAGAGGGGCAAGGAGAAGGAGCGGGAGATTGCGGGCTGGTTGGCGCAGCGGGTGGCTGGGCACAAGAAGCTGAGGGGCGGCGTGCGGTTTGTCGATGAGATTCCGAAGAGCGTGAGTGGTAAGATACTGAGGAGGGTGTTGAAGGCGCAGGCTGCTGCTGAGGAGGAGGAGGAGGAGAAGAAGAAGAAGATGGGCGCAAAGGCGAAGCTGTAAAAGTGGAATCCATTGGCGGGTGTGTGCACCGGCTGGCTATTGAAAGGGCGAGTGGGCGAGTGGGCGGGCAGGTGGGCAGATGGGTGTGGCTGGACTGGGCTGGGTTGGACACAAGAACCGATGTCGTTAGATATCAGCTGAAATGATAAAAATGATGCATAGAGAACTTTGAAATGTTCCTGCTTGGTTCTGGTTCTCGGTTCGGTTCGGTTCGGTTCGGACCGGCTGGTCTAGTTCACATTGAAATTCTCATGTTGATATATATATGTATCATGTATCATCATGTTACGCGATTTCCAATTCTCCATTCACCCTTTCTCTCTCTCTCTCTCTCTTTCTTTCCTAGGTACCCCCGCGGGTAAAGTAAAGGTCTCTTTCATCTTCCAACTCGCATGCTTGGAAAAGGAAAGGAGAGGAAAGGAAAGGAAAGGTGAAAACAAGGGAGTTCTGGCTGCCAGGCGCCCTTGCGCTCTGATTGATGCCATGACAGCTGGCTCGCCAAGCTACCGGTTACCGGTCGTGTAGATGTACCGGTAGGTAGCATGCTTTATGAAGAAGCCAGCTGTA